TAGCTGGAGTTAAACCATGACACCTTGGTTCAAACAAGGAATTGTAAGCCAAAAAAGGCAAATTACTTCTGTCACTGACATGCACTAAATGGCTGCTAGAGTTACAGAAACATTAATACTGTAGCCATCAAGAGAAGGATTTAACTCAGAGTAATGTTGTCTGGAAACCATCCATTCGATGGCAAAAAGATTTCAGGATTCTAGGATAATACATGATGCCATCTAGCCTCTTCATTTTGTATTAGGTAAATAAAATATATAGTTAAAGATGTTAGAAATAGAATACTTTTCCCATTTACTGAATTACTATTTATTATTCTAGACGTCTGTCTGGTATAGGGCTCATAGGGAAATGAATCATTCTCATTATTATGCTTGGAATTGTAGTCTTGACTTAAAATTACAATAAATAAGAGCTTTGACAGATGCAAGATGATTAGCTACTTCATTTCCAAGGGAAAACCCACAAGCAACCCCAAAATTACCCTGGTTGCACTGTGAATTTTAAAGCTCTAGTATAGCCCATGTACAAGTCTCCCATTTCATATCTAGTTAAAACATAAAAATATTAAAAAATATTTTCTGGTCATATTTTAGAAGTCCCTGTATTAATACCAAAGACAGTAAATGTCTAGATTATCTTAGGCACTCTATTACTTCTTTAAATCCTCTAGGAGTAAAAATAAACATCACTTTCTGTATTTGTCAGTATTCTGATTTGATTGAGCAAAGTTGACATGAAAAGCAGGAGACAGACTTACAAACTTGGCACTTCCAAGGTAAAAAAGCAGATTGTCAGCAACTACAGTCTTCACATTGACAATGATGGTGTTGTATGTTCCCTTCTTTATTTCTGGTCTGTATGTGCGAATACAATTGCCTCCAGAGGACACAGACACTTTGATCTTCAAAAAAAGCAGAGTAGAACGAACTCAGTTTCCTGCTTATTATTCCAGAAATAACTTCAAATGCTTCCAAATAATTTTAAGAAAATTACACTTTTTTTTTTTCCCCCCTTTCTTCCCATTCTTGTGTTAGACATAACAAGGAGTTGCTTGGATGTACAGGAGGTAGAAACGGAATTTCTTTCTGGGATTGTTTATTAAAAGTAAAAACTTTGGAATTCACATTTGAAAGAACAAACTGTATGTATTGATAATAGCTAGAAGATATAGTAGTCTAATGCAAGCAGCAGTGGAATTCTAGCAGTAGAAGTAGAATGTGCAGCCAGGAAAACAAACAGCACTCTTGACAGAATCACAGCACATTGCTATCCCGCAGACAGGATGAGCTATTTTTTTCCTTGTAATATCTTTGATTATGCCAATTTCAGACATCTTTTAACAATTATTTTTAAACCAACAGTTGTGTCTATCACTGCTTTTACATAGCCCCTAATGGAGTTGGTATTCATAACTAAGTTTCATCTTCACAGCTGAGTGACATATGCATTTGGATATGTGTGCTAGTTTCCTCAGGCTCTGAGCACAGATAAAAATGGTATACTGTTTGCTTTCATAATGCCAGCATAGACATAATGACAGTACAACAGTATTTCAATTCCAGCTAGACATGTTTATGTATTAGAGTAGATGTACATAGTGGTATCACCCTATGCCTAGGGCAAACTCTGTCAAAAAAGAGAGCCATTGTATGACCAAACACACAGTTTCCCTATCTCAGCAATGCTGCACAGTGAAGCAGTTCAAAGCCTTTGGACAGAAGATGAATGTAATAAAACCATTTCATTACTGTGGTCTGTCTTTCTATCGTGGGCAAATTTCATTGAGATATGGAACACACTTCTTTCCCAGGATCCTATATTATTCTGCGGATTTTTTTTTCAACCGTTTTTCAGGAAGTTTTCTGAAGTACCATCTTCAAGAAATTTTTCCTTTCCTACATTAGGTAACATGCTGAATACATTTAGTATTAACCAGCTAATCCTTGAGTTTAGAGTATTATCGAGCCAGGGAGATGGACTTCAAACTCATTAAATGGACTAGAAATGTATTCTTAACTCGATCTCAAGTCGTCAGAACTGCTACTGGACAAAGAAAGTCAAGGATATGAAAAAAGCAAATACACTCTGCAATTTCAGTGAGTTTGAGATGGTGTCATTCTCAGGTAATATAAGTTCTATGAAATGAAAGCAGGAGCTTAATATCAGTGCTGAGGCAAAAAAATATATTTTAGTTTTCACAAAAAATTGATAACGCTGTGACTCTTTTGCTGTACTACCATCCACAATACTTCTTAAATAATAACCTTTCGAGATAAATGGATACCATCTGTAGGAATGTAACAACGGTATGTTTTAAATGGAGAAACAAGACACAGAGAATCAGAATCATCAGAATATTCTGTTGGGTCTTTTTTTTTTTTTTTCTCAGAAGTTGTACTCTATTATCTGCTCTCCTTACACATGTTTAGAATTAGAAAGAATTCACCCTGTGGAAAAGAAATAGAAAAGTAGAATATAAAATCCCATCAATACTCAAAAGGTCATTTTACTGAGAACGAAGGCTTACCGAATTGGCTTGCTTCCGAGCTTGGTTTATCAGCTCTTTTATCTGAGAAATGTTTTTCCCTAAATTATCCTGAAGTTCTTTGATGGGCTTGATTTTATCCAGCAGGCGATCTGCTTCCTTTTCTAGGGTTTTAATACTGGAATCTGCATCAGCAACTTCATAAGAACAAGGCAGAGTTTTAGAGAATAGTGTCAGAGAGTAGTTACACATTGCAATAATAAATCCAAGAAAATTCTGCATACACAATGCTCAGGCGATTGTGTATGCTACTATGAGGTGTACACAGACCTGGACGATATCTGAACAGAATAAGATAATCTAAGAATATTTAGAATCAAGCTAAAATATCAATAGTAACAAACTCAGGTGTTAAAGCAGGATTTTGAAGCAGTAACTATGCTGCAGGTGAGGAGGATAGTAATGGAAAACATTACCTATAACAAAATACACTTATGAATGAAATATTTACATTCTGTTTTTTAAACTCCAGTTTTGAAGAAAAATGCTAGGTGAATGGTAACAGATTAGTTTCTATTAGTATGTTTCCAAAACAGGGTTAGAATTAACTTGAAGTTAATTCTTGAATTAACTATAATGGCCACAACTAGAAAAAGGCTTTACTCTGATCACAAGTTTAAAAGTCAGCATGTGCATTGAAAGCAGGTTAAAAAGCAGTAGCAGTAAACTGCAAATATTTTCTTTTTTTTTTTTTCAGATGAACTCAATAATTTCACAAAGATTTTTTTTTACTCTTTTGCTTTAAGAGTCAAATGACTTTTTTGCCTCTCAACATACAACTACTGAACAATGCCCTCTCTGAGAACTCATCAGCAGATCTAAGGATTGCAACACTGGGTTAGCATGAGGGTATGTGTTTGTGCAGATGACACTGGAAGGGACAAACCTGCTTTTACCTGAAAAATGTACATCGAATGACAATCATAATAATCAAGCATGAAAGTCTGCATGTCTAGTTTTTGAACAGTCAGCCAGACACTGATACCAAACCTTCAAGATGCTTCTTAAGGCTTCACATAGGCAAAACTAGTTAACAAATCGCTTTATCTGAGAGCCTTCAAAAAGTAACTAACTATTTCAAGTAATGTGAAATGTAAAGCACCGTGCAGAAGCTTTGGTGGTAAGCAGTGGATCACTATTTACTGGAAAAGGCGCAAGAAAAGCAGCAAGAAAAAACATACGTACTGATTTCTGTAGGCAAGGTATGAAGACAAGGAAGAGAGAAAAAAATAGAAGACAGTGTAAGAAAATGTTTTGAAGATCTAAACAGAAATGTAAAGTAAATTAAGAGACAGGATTAGTCTAGAAAAAAAACTTATGTTTTATGTATTGCACATCTATATAATGAGAATTCAGAGCCTGAATTTTGACATACCAGAGAGGCTACATCTACTCTAGTGTGTAGTTGTCAGTGCCAACATACTCACTATACACATTTGGAGTGGTTTACTCTGCATGTACTTTAATCTCATTCTGTAATCTGAGTATCCATTAGCAATTAGGAAGTGGTAAAAGTGTACTTCTGGAGAACATCTTCCAGTTAAGCTTTATCTGATGTGCGTGAGTTTGCAAGTGTTAAGACCACTCCTCGGTGTGAGTGGTCTTGATTGTCGTCAGTCACCAAATAATGGTGACCAAGGACAATCAAGAGATTAACTTCTAAATTGCCACTTCTAATCTCAACTAAAACGCTGATGTACACAGTCTTAGACTGAGACAGATGGCCTAGTCTAGATCCAGCAGTGCCAAGACATTACTGCTTTTAGGACACTTCTCAGTTGTGTATCACTAACTTGCCAAAAGCTATCACCTCACAGATCTGCTCGTTCTATTACCCACTACAATATTTCAATCAATACCTGCTTTTCATATTGTCTAATCTCCTAAACCGGATGTTTTTAGGTGCCCAGCTTCATCAAGCTAACAACAATCTGGGGAGCCCAGGTTACCTGAGAAATTAGTCCTTCAGTAATTCTGTAAAGACAATCTGGTTTTGTGGTCAGCCCTGGCTGTATGTGGCATGTTATAGTAATCTACCATAAAATATACTGTAATTTAAAACAAAAACCCCATTCCCAGAATCTCCTTAAGTGTCTTCAGAGTTCCTCCAAAACCGGTACCGCATATGAAAAGTCATGTGTTTCTCCCAGAACTGATGTCTGACTGACTGAAGACATGATTAGTGCGTGGAATTTTGCCTAAATCAAGGGATGATTTGCCAGTTAGAATCCCTGATTATTCACCTCCTAAATACTTGTGAAAGTAGCCTGAAGAACAAATCTAACCACTACATGTTCATCCTTCTCACAGTAGCTTTTTTCCCAACTACTAGCAGCAGTCCTTAAGATTTAAATTCTTTTTATATGTAAAATCCAGAAAATAGAAGTGACTGAGAACCCAGCATACTGTAGTAACACTGTGCGAGTGACATCCTGGAGTGTCTCTGTTTCATTTTGAGATGTGAAATGAAAACCACAACCTGACCAAAACCCACACCAAACAACCCAAAAAATATCTTACTGTTCTTGATAGGATCCTTCACAACAGCATTTGTTTTTGCCACATCGTCTGTGAGTTTACTGTAGTTGTTCCTCAAGCCCAGAAGATTCTGATTGAGGTCTTTAATCTGGGCCAGGACATCATTTGCAGTCTCGTTGGCTTGTCTTGCTTTGTCTTTGGCTGCCTGTACCTTTATAGCTGTATCTGCAGGTAGAAAACCATCATGAAATGATTGTTTAGAGTACAGAATTTTCCTCCACACATCTTAAAATAAAGTTGGGTCAAAATTCCACCATCTTAAATTGTGTTGTGTAGTTCTTTGAGAGCTACTACTCCACACGTAGTGAGACATTACTACTTGTAACTGTGGATTGCAGAATCTGGCCCTTTCTGTCTTTTTTGAGACATCAAATGCCCTTGAAGAAGAGAAAATGCTGGCCCCATTTGTGTGCAAAGGGCAAATAATTTTTATTAGGTAAATTTTTGTGCAATTTAGTTGCTGTTGACTCACTGGTTAACTTCTCTGATCAAGTGTCAGATATATTTGATATATATAATAGAAATAGGGCTTTCAATGTTCTGATGTAGAGAGTTCAGAAATCGAACTCCGTGTGTTTCAGCTGAAATTGTGACAAATAATCTTGTGGATCAGGAGACCAAGGGTCCATTGACTGGGTTAATCACATACACCATCGACACCCTTGGTAACCTTAAGCAAAACATTCAGTCTAATTCTGCCCCACCTCTCTGCCTGCAAAATGGAAATGAATGCTCTCTATTTGTGGTGAAAGCATTCGTGTCTGGAATGTTTTTGATTGTGCTATTGCTAAACGATAAAACAGACATCGGGGTATTCAAGCAGGTAATCACTGATATCCAGTGTTAGTAAACTGGATTGCTCTAAAAATTATCAGGCAGCTGTTGAGCAGCTCAGGTGCTGTTACCACACTGCATTATATCACATGACAAGCCAGCAGCCCAGGTTGTGCTGGGCTAGGGAGCTGCGAAACTTTCTGAATTCCCACAGATGGGAAGAAGTGAGCAAACAGAAAATGCTGCAGTGGACACTCCAGCTTGCAAGGCAACCCATGTGAACTCTACCACCACACCACAGTGGAGTTGTGGTACCTGCAGAAACCTGCTTTGCCATCTGCTTCCTCTGAAACTGCTCTTGGAGTTGATTTCCCCTTGTGTTCTCCAGGGTATCCTCACGTTCCTCAGTCATAGGACAATTTTGGAGAGCAGGTCAGAAATTTGGACATCTTTGAAACAACTATGTAGAGATAGTCCCACTTTTCATACTGAGACTTCTTGTGGTAGTCCCTGATGTTAACAAGACTGCATTGCAGTAGTGGGGAAGGCACAAGAGGTTGTGATGTCTTTGTTTATGATTAAGAGAGAGATGATAGAGTTAGTTTATACCATCTTCCTGCTTGAAGCAGATTGCACATTCCTGATGCTATAAGTTTGTGAAGACATGGGAACATGAGCATTTTCTCAGTTTCAAGGGATCAACAGCACAGGTTTCCAGATGGTCTCCTAGGCAGGTCCTTCTGCTTCTGTGAAACAACTGATGCGATCAGGCCTGAGGCCTGGGGAGCATGCGATGATTCCTAAGGCCGTAGAGAACTGGTGGGTTTGCCCTGCACATTGCAGAGTTCCACAACCCTTTTTACTTTCTGGAGTAAAGATACATTATACCTGTGCTCTGAACAACTCAACCCTTATTTCTGAAGTTTTGGCAATTTCAAAATTTTGGCAGTCCCCAAAATTCAATAGCACCTTGAAAATACAACTGAACCTTTAATAAACCATTATCATAATACTGAGAACTGAAAGAACAGAGCACCCTGATTGCCTTTTTTCACTTCCTTTTTTGATCATATGTAGGTATCTCTTTTTGAGGCCATTATTAGAGGTCATGCACCTTTCCAGCAGAGTGAAGGTTGGAGTTACTGCGTTACTTCCCTCTATTGATCACACAAATTAGGTTTGTTTTCAGCCACACTTTAAATTATGCCACCCCTGCACATGTGGGTCCTTGTCCTAAGATGATCTACCCATCTATCCCATTTTGAATCTTTCTGGTTTTATTTGGCTATTAGTAGAGCATGGACACAAGAATTATTAGTTTAATGCTGCTCTCTTCTTTTTTGACTCCTTGAAGAACAAGATATATGACAGAGTCACTTCCTCCTCCATCCTCATTGGTTATTTCTGTGTTGGACAACTAATATACTGCATTTTCTTATCCATGCTATTTATTCACTCGGAAATTCATTATTAATACGCATCTGGTCGTTTTTATGAGTGTCCTTGTCCCAAGAGCAAGCACCCTGTAACTAATCTGACAAGAGTTTATTACATTGCTAATGGTTGCATGTTTCATATTTTACTTGTTTCATATTTAGTATTCTTTGTCTTAAGGTCAACTGGCCTTAGAGGTCCATTTTGTTTGACCGAGGCATCTATCTGTGCAGAAGAAGAGAAACATTCATGTCAGTACCTGTGGCCAAAACCTGGGAAGTGGTATAGATGACCATGACATATTGGAACAAATTTTTGTGAATGCCTGATTTCAAGGATCACTAAATCTAAACCAAAACTTTTTATCTAGAATCACAAAGCCACAAAAATGTGCAAAATGAACAGTAAATTGTTTTTCATGCCAAGTTTTTATTTGCAGTCTGAACCTTTCAGACCGTCACCAATCAGACAGAATACAGATTTTCTTTAGACACTTTTCTTAAGGCATATCTTCAGTTTATGAAGTGCTCCTTGGAGAGAAAAGTCATAGCAAATGACAGTGATAATAAAGCTTTTATTTTCTAAAACAAGCACTCAGTTTATCACTGTCTATTAAAATGAAACTACGTTTTAGCTCCCTGTCCCTTGCTATCACAACACAAAACAGTTAATATCCCAGGAATTTGGGATTTTAATGAGCATTACAGTGGTTTTTTAAAAGTTGTTTGGGCTATATAGAATTATGGACGTGCATTTCACTTCAGAGTTAACTGAGGAAAGCCTGTTCCAGTCCTAAGCAATATACAGGCTAAAAAAGGTACACAACACCAGTGACTGGAAACGATACTGCAGCATAAAACAATGAGAGTGTAGTAGAAAGGTAAAACAAAACCTAGAAAATGTCATCCTGCTTTTTCTGTGAAGTCAGTAAGGCTTTATTCTTCTTGGGTTAAATTATACTGGTTAAATTATAATGGCTCATTAAACAGTAGTTTCATAAAAAGACTTTTCATATTTAAAGAAAAGACTATTTGTCTCAGATTACATCATAATTCCCAATATCATAATTCTTTTCTTTCTGAAACCCTTTGCAAACTGCAGAAGCATGATACCTTTTACCATGCCATAATACAAGCTGGTAACATGTAACTGGTTTCAGTTCCATTCTCTCTCTCACATTGCTCATCTTCATCTTATTACAGCAGCCAATGGTCAGAGTGGACATAGTGTGGACAGAGGCAAAAACTAATCAGACAGATGTTAAGTGACAGAAAATGAAATGAAAGAGCAGGGATGGGTCAAGTGCTACAGCACTTTTCCATCTTACCGTTAGGAATGGCTGACAGCTTTCCTAAGGTTTCGTTCAAAGCTCTCAGGAGAATGGAATTCTTCTCATCAGCATCTTTCAGCCTGTTCTGCATGCTGTCCAGGTTATCCCCCTCTTCTATAAAAAATGCACATAGTACAGAAGCTTTAAGTCTTTGTTTCCACTATGCTTTCCTTCTACATAATTTAAAATGCATAATAATGAGCAAGCAATTTATCATTAAGATACACTGTGTAAATAAGGAAGTCCAGTAAAACTGGTTGTAGGGTTTGCTGATAATGTTTCTTCAATTTCCCTACTTCCATGATATCTAAATAGTTGAGTTCCTTGAACTGTTCTAAATTTATCAATTTCCTGAGGTTTATAGAGGAAAGAAATAAATAACAATCACAGATGGTACAACTCATGAAAATTCACAAAATGACCCACTGATGGGTTCAGTAAGTGTGATGTTCAGTCACAGCTTTCATTCCTAGATTAACTTACTACTGAAATTTTCTTCTTGAAATTGGGTTGAATGAGTTGAACGTAGTGTGAAAGAGAAAACATCGATTAGGTCAGCTGAGTGTTGCAATTACACAGGCCAGAGCCCAGTTCTCTTTGATTTTCTCAAAGATAACTAACACTGACATGAAATCTGAGGAAAACCATTGAGATCACCCTTGCGCTGGTCATGAACATGAGAAGAATACAGTAACAAGAGGTTATTATGAAATAAACATACTACTTTTTTTTCTGGGAAAAAGCCTGTCAAATAAACAAAACTCCGAAGTTAAGAATGGGTTCAAATCAAAGAACTAGTAAAATCAAAGGCACAGGTGTGTCATATTTGGTACACTGCAGATGAAACTCATGTTATCCTTTACAGGTAAGTTCCAATTCTTCAGCAGTTGCTTTGAATAAAAATTACATTTTTTTGGAACAGTATACAGCACAGCAATATTTTTTCAAACTCTCAAAAGTGAGATTCCAGCTAATCTTTATGGCTATTTAAACTGACGTTATTTCAAAATTTAGAAGTAAAGTTTGGCACAGAAAATGGTAGTTAATGCTTAAACTAGTATCTTAGGGAACACTTTTCATAATTTCTTTGTATCAATATCTAACTATTCGGAACAGACAGCTGGCAATTTCTTACCTTAAAGGCATGCCCTACTGGGAAACTAATTCAACATGACTGTGCTTGATAGCAGGAAGAGGAGTATAATTAGTAAAAAAAGGAGTTCAGGATGCAATGTATGACTATGACCTTCAGATATGTGACAGGTTATTGAAAACAAACACCTAGTTTTTGGATACTTATCCAAGTAGGTACTGGCATAGGAAAAGAAAACATATTGGATATGAGGTATCTTGGTGAATTACAGTCACATACTTGCCAAAACCAAAAAGCAACTCTTTTTATTAAAGGACAATAATTAGATGTATCATTGCTACTCCAGCATTCCAAAAGCATCAAGGCTGTAACCCTTTTGTGAAAGAATAAACAGAATAATATATTAAAATAAGGGATTGTAGTTCATGTTCTACAAAGGTAAGGTTTCTTAAAACTAGCTATGGAAGAAACAATTTGTAAAGAGAAGAATCAAACAAAATGTATATTACCTACAAGAAATCATTAACTAATTTTTCCAAGACTATAGCAAGGCTGAAATAGTGCATGGAATTTAAATGAGAATCATACTCTGCTGTTAGACCCTTTGAAATGTCATTCAGGAAGAAATTTGTTTGCTTTATTTAAATGAGAGCAACACATAGGACTGCAGGTGTGTCTGGAGGTAAGCTTTTGTTCCTGCAAAATGTCCTACACAGGACATTCGTGTGGACTGTAAGAGGCACACTAGAATGAAGTTGGGAATAATCTTATCATTCATAAGATCATTCTTCTCCTCAAAACCAGCTTTATTTTTAAATGACAAGGTTTGTCTCCACTATTGAATGAGGCAACTGGTAATGTGATGCTGTTAAACCAGGATGAACTCATGAGAATTTGGTCTTAAATGCTCTGAGACCTTATCTGAGTTCATTCCTTGTTAAGTAATAATACTGACAAAACTCTTTTAATTTCTACCATTTAATTCTGAAATTACAGTCTGCCTGATATGTCCTTGGTGTCTCTGGTGCCTTTTGGGATGTTAGCGTTTATAAAGTGTGTTAATATTTCTGAGATATTCAATCCATTTCCAGTGGTGGTGTACTAACTTTGCTGCGTACTCTTAAATTATCTCTTTTTCTCCTCTTTACTCTGCCAGATCCAACTCTACGCTAATTATCTCCCAGTTATATTTCTGAAGAATCATGTTTCCAGACTTCTGTTTTCAGCTTCGTAACCATAGCAGCAAACTAATTTTTATGGATTTTAATAAGGGAAGTTTCCCTAGAACTGAAATTGAATACCGAGACTCCACCTGTTTAATGCTTATTTTTTTAATTCCTCATATATATTTGAACTGTGTTTTTTAAAAAATTACAATAATACAACCATAAGTAAGTGCCCCGAGGGAGGTCCTTACATGAAGAGATGTGAGGAGATACTAAGGCCCATGTCAGCTTTTAAAGGAAATTGTTCATTTTGCACAGTGATATTAACACGAAGTTATATTTTGAAGTAACTTCCCATGTAATCCAGATGGCCTCTTCACTAAGCACTGAGCTAATTTTGTGTATGAATCATGAACTGAACTGACTACACATCAGCTTTTCCCCATCCTTCAAGTATTAGCATTTATGAAGAACGCTGGAGATATGATTTGCAGGCCTGAGATCCTCTAGTTAATCATAAAGTCTAGGCAAAATACAGGCAGCTGCAATCTAAGTTTTTCCAAAGTACATAGCTTATCTGACTTGGAAGAGGTTAGTGGGTCTGCACTGGAAGATGCCAGCACTGTCAGTTCACACAGTGAAGTGGAGGTTGAGGAGTATCCTGAGAAATTTGTCTCAATCCTGCTTCCACTTGATTAGTTCTGCACCAAGATGGCACAGGATGACAATCAATGCGCTGTTTATTGTTCAAATCAACAAAACTATTATTGCATTACTGAAACTAAACCCTAAAGAATAAGCAGGATCCTGAAGGACTTTGCAGATATGGGCCTTTAGCTTTTTGGGCTTGGTTAACATGAACCAAGATTTTAACTTTCTGTTTATACTTCCATAGTTAAACACAACATTACAGAATAAAGCATCATCCCTTTTTCCTCTGAGTGAATAAAATGAAATTAGTAAAAGGGGGTGGGGGGGTGGGGGGTGGGAAACCCCTGCATTCATGTATTTAATTTTAAGATGAATTTAAGAACTTAGTTACTCACCGTTTATACACAGTAACCTATTTTTACAAGAAACAAGTTTTTAGAACTCTCAGCAGATCGCATACATAAGTGGCACTGGTTAACTACTGATGATGTGCCACCATTGCAATGCTAGTGGAAACAGCACGCCCAAATGCAGTTTTCCATGCAAAAATGTCCAAGAGGATATCCTAAGGCTGGGCTACTCAATGCATGTATCCCAAAATCAGAATAAAGGTGGAAAGCTGTCAAGGAGCAATATATGCAGCTGTTTTTATTGATTGGGTACTGCACAAAAGAACTGGCAGTTACACACATCCCTTTCCATTATTTCTGTTTTACATTCTTGCTCCCCACAGTCTCATCCTATAAAGAGGAAGACAAGCCATAAGCTAAAATTTTTTCCCCTAAAACAAGCAAGACTTAGGAACTGGCATTAGGAACAAGGAGGGTAAAGAGGTGTAACTAGAAAAATGCAGCTAGTGATGGTTGACTTTTTAAAAAGACTACTTTCAGCACTGACTGCAGTTTTTGTATGAATATTATGTTGGTCATCAAGCTAACACTATGATTTGGTGAATCCAATATGCCAGGTCAGCAAACACACAAAGCAGAGGAGAATACACAATCAAGGGATTTAGCTATGCCTATGAGCTGGAAAATGTTTTAGCTAAAAATATTCCCGTGTTGTCAGACAACACAGTCCTCCTCAAGTTGTCAATTCTTAAGCAAGAGAAATGGCATGAGCTGAATTTCAGTGGCCACCTGACAGCAGTCTCCAGCTGAAGAGGAGTTTATACATCTTATTTTTGCTTTTCATTGATCAGCTTTGGCAAAGTCTGTATATTGTCATTTCTGAACTGGGACGAGTATATTTTTAAACCAGTAAATTCCAAATTATAAGAAAAATTGCTCCTGGCAAACTGAAAATCCCTCAAGGCACAGAGAGAATGAAGCTGGTTGGCAGCAGCATTTACTCACCTGTAGCCAAAATTTCAAAACGTCTTTTTATCCGGAGCACTACATACAGATTTTGCTTCTCCCACCAGCGTTATTCCTTCTAACTCCTAGCCCCACAGAGAGAGAAATTACTAAATCTCCACTTTAATAGCTTCTGTCAGAAGCTTTGCTTTGTTAAGGCCTGTTTCAGCATTTTTTGATGGTAATATAAAACATTTCCTTGATTAACAGCCATTTTACAACTCGTGTAATTGGCTGTTAATCAGGGGGATGTCATAATGTAGTAAGAAAACACTCCTACCTCCATCACAGCCCAGGGTGGATTTTTGGAGTGTATAGTAGGTGAGTGGCTTACGGGTCTTCATTATTTTAACTAATGCACTACCTGTAGTGCAGACAGAGAAATTTTAAACTAATGATTACTTCTGTCTACCCAATCTTCATAAAGTGTCCGTCATCCATCCTGCACTTCCAGTTGAGACACTGAAGAGGGTGACTTTGTGAGAATTGTAAGAAAATATTTTTCTATTAGTTTGACATTCAACTCTCACTTTTTATTGTGGAGACATCAAGACATCCAGAAGAGATTATGGTCATAATACAAATTGCATCACCACCTTGGAGCAAAAGTAGGGTGGGGAAAAAAAAAACACCTAAGAAATCTGCCACTGCATTTTATTTTTATGCATCTGCTTTCTGGACACAACATTAACTGATCTTTGAGGGTCAAGCTGTGGAGCATGACCATGTTTTATCAGATGCCAAAAGGCGTGCTGTGAAAAGATCAGAATGTTTGTCTGTATGAAGCACCTTTAATCTAAGACATATCGGAGAGTGTTACCCCGGCAAGAACATAGACAAAGACCTAATATGCTCATTTTGACCACTGCTCCCTGCTTGCATTAGGATTGATTTATGATCTTTAGACTGTTTAGACCTTGGCTTCTAAATTATGAAGCTGTTATCAAATTCTCACTGGTGTAAAATGGTTGAATGACATACTTCTTTCAGAAATCTGCGAAGTAATGTCTTATTGAGGTTGTTTACACACCTTTTCTCATGTTAAACTGGACAGTCATGTGGAGACATGGAATTGACATATATCCACGTACAGACTGTTTTATTTTGTCCTTGAAAACAAGACGCTGTGCTGTGTGGAACACACAGTTACCCCGCTGGAACTGCCTGGGGAGCACACAAAGCTTGGACTCCACTCTGGCATCTAGTCTCTCCAGAGGAACGCCATGGCAGGGAAGAGGAGGCGCTGCCATTTCAGAGTTTCTGATACACTAGCCACGGCAAACTGCAGCAGTCTGCACTCCAGAAAGGGGCACTAACAGCATCCCTATTCGTTCTACTTCAGCCAAGCTACTTTAAATTGCACACGGGCATCCCCTCACAGTTTCATGATTTTCTGTAACTGGAGCATGCCCCTGCAGCCCTAAATCTGTACTGAATCTCGCAGTAAAGTGTTGCACTAAAGAACACCCTAAATAAACATCCCAGATTTACTAGTAACTGCAGACACATTGTTCACTCAGAGCTGCTACAAGAATTTTTAACTTTCAAACAGTGTATGACAATGAAATGTAATTAATGACCTTAAGAAACATTATGCTTTATGACCTAATTAAAAATTATGTTTACTTGTTAACTAGTTCCGTGACTGGAAATCCTAAAGCTGCCAAAACTAAACAGAAGTACAGTAACAGCCAAAAGAGGACTCTAAGTTGTATGGATGTCATCCTTCATGTTCTACGTTTTTCATAACGCATCTCCCAGGAGGCCAACAAAAATCTTGTATGTTAAAACCTTCAAAACTGGGCTCTATTATAAAAATCTGTCTTGTTTCTAACAAAAAGTATAACTACTCTAGCATGACAGGGAAGCTTCAGGCATCGTCTCTGCCACAAGCAGTTGAAATCTCAACCTTGCATATTTATTGTGTGATTTTTCTAGTTCTGATGCTTGAAAGAAACAAACAAAAAAATCTCAGCTTGATCTTCAGATCCTACGATGAGCAGAAAATATCATAACTGCTTTCCTCTCCTCATCTTTATTTCTTTCAAGTCCTAAATCTGTTTTCTCATACAGATTTTCAAGTTAACTCTACAATAGCTTCAGCCAATAGAATCAAACTATAATGTATCTAGCATGAAACAATCTTTCTCAGACTACCGTGATTGGACACAAGCTTCTCAAAATATACACAACAAAATTTCAAATTACAAAAGGGAGGGGATAACAGTGCACTAACTTGGAATAAACCACAAAGTTACCATCTTGAACTTATTGCGTCTAGCCTCATCAAAATACTAGTCCGTATTTGGATGAAAGACCTTCAAAATAGTTGTATGGAGGACTCGATATATCCTACCCTCAGTGTTCATTATACCAGTGGCACAAATGCTGTATGCTCCTAAGTTGCTTTCTTTATAAAAACAAAACAATTAAAGCAGTAACGTTTAACATTTTTCACAAAGGCAGATGTGTGAAACTCAATGTTGAAAGTGGATAATTGTATCATGCTTATTTCCCCTCAGGTTTGGTTGAAATTAACTATTTTTTCAATTTCTTTCTAAGACTGCTGTGGAGAAAGAAGTGTTGAGTACTGTTAAACAGATGCTTCATTAGTGCTGAAATAAGTGTTTTCTTAGAGGGCCTATAAAACAATCTGTCTGGATAAAATCACAAGAAATAAACTGTTTTTAGTTGCAATGATCAAGAAGATCACTGAATCATAGACTCAGAACAGATGTTTGTCCAAGGATCATTTTTTTCCTTCTGACCAACAGTCATTCCTCACTGATATTTGTCTAAGCTCTTTTTAAAAGATTTTCAATGGTTGAATTTCCCTAATCTCCTCAGTAATCAATTCCAGTACTTCTGTATTTTAATTACAAGGAAGTTATTAGGAATATGTGAGCTGTATCAGTGTATCTGAGATATGTTAGTCCTATCTTCTTTGGAGAAACCTTGACATAACTGAAGAATATTAAGTCCCTACTCATTTGTCTCTTTTTCAGTCTACAAATTTAAATTATTTCAATCTCTCTCCTCATCTCTCCTTTGCTAGATCTCCAATCAGTCTTCATGATGTCTTCAGGACTCTTGGCAAGCCACCTCAGCCCTCATGAAGTACAGTGCCCAGAACTGTAGCCAGTAACTTAGTCAAAGCACTAGGAAACCTAGTTTGGATTGTTTCATGTGTTTTAGTAAGCCATGCTCCTATTCAATCATTTCTCTGTGACATCTGCCTTTCCCACCTCTACCCAGCACATGGTCCATACATCTCTCCAGTCTCATCTAGAGAAGTCCTACCCAGACAATTGCTCCTCATCCTGCATTTTTGCAGCTGATATTCATGTGTACATGAACCACCACAAACGTGTCCATACTGATTACTGTCCTACCTTCTCACACTATGGCATTCACCAATAATCCTCTCATTTATTGATGAGAAAATATTAAGGACAATATAAGCACAATCTGACCTGAAACACCAGCTTTTACATCTTACCAAACAGCATAGTTCAAAACCCTTTTTTATTTTCCAGTGAAAAATACTGAACAGAAACTGAACATATTTTACTTTACACTGTGAAGCCAAAGTATTTTGTTTGGAATCTAAAAACTTCATGATCTGAGCTGTATTTAGATATATATTTATTATGTAGGAACAAAGAAATATTTGTGTGTGTGAAAATAATTTGTCTCTAGGGACATGCTTTTAGTTTCATTTTTTTAAGGAAATACTTAGCAGTTCCCTCCCATTTCTCTGTTCGGCAAACATCTTCATTCTCCCGCCCCATGCTTCCCTTTTCTGGCACAATCCCACATGCATCCTGAAGCGACGTGGTGTCTCTGACTTGCATTGCAAACCCTGCTGCTGTATTGACAAGAATAAAAATGTAATGCTGGGATGGTTTTTGTACTATTCTGCTGGAGCATCTAGTAAATCAGAACCAGTATTTCCATCCCACTCTCCTCCCCACCTACTCTTGCCCTTAATGTAGTTGGCAAGAAAAGACCAAGCTTCCATCCTCCTCAGCCTTCCGGTCCACGAAAAGGACAGAGGGGACACGCATCTCTGCATAATGCTTGGACCCAAAACAGGAAAGTCTTTTTCATTTGTACATTGTTCAATTTCAAATCAGGAAATGAATTATACTTTTTAACGGCTTTTTCATACTGGAAGCATAGCAGTCTCACAGTGTTTTTCTTGTATTTCATGGACCTGAATGCCATATATTGCACATACCTTTAACATCATTTTCTAACATCTTGGCTTCATTAAGGACTCTGAAGCTTTTCTGAAGAGCGTTCTTCGCTCCATCCTTCAATGATCCCTGAGGACCAGATGTCTGTAGAAAAAGAAGCAGTTCATATATACAGGAAAGTCTGAAGTCATAAAAGATATATGAAGATAATCTAAGTGGACAGTCACCTAAATTTTAAGTGAATGTCAGTGTGCTCTGAATTATGCCCTATTGCCAGTATATTGGTCTACAAGACACACAAAAAAAGTCTTTAATTAATTTCTTTTCTTACAGGAAGCCAGTTCTCCTCTGGAATACCAGTGACGACTTCAACAAAGAGAGAAAATGTTTATAGTGATAAAAAACAGGTTTGACTCTATGAGCAAAACTCTGCCCAGAATAAACAAAGAAAAAGATATTTCAACTTAAAAATGGGTGTTTCCCTCCAGCTATGGACACAACATGCAATACAGTATTTCTTCATAACAGTAGCTACAATACCATTAGAAGCCAGACTGAATCAGATGATCCAAATTCTAACACTGACAACAGAGATATCTTTGTGGTGAAATTCAAGAATTTTAATTGCTAGCTCAATAAAGAAAATATTATTCAAAAGAAATAGAGTTTAAAAATAAGGGTACACTGCAGTTAATCTGAAAGAGTTCTGTTACTAAATAACCATCCTTCATCATATCATGCTACTTAAAGATCTTGGTTTTGAAAAACATCCATCTCTATCTTCAGTGCAGAGACTGATCAATAGACAGAATGATTTTTCTAAATTAGATTAGTATTTTCAGTTGGTAGGAAATGGTCTAGGTTCTGAACCACTTACGGTTCAGTTTGTAAGACTGAACTTGGGTCACACATTATACTGAATATATTTCTTTGAGAATATTCCTGACAGCCAGATAACATTCTGTATTAGTCATGGGTCATAGCCCTGTAACTAGTATGTAATTAAGAAGCAGCTACTTTTCATTTTCCAGGGCAGATACATATACTTGAAAACGAACTGTGTGTCAATTAAATGACACAGTTATTATTGCTATTCATTATTTATATAATGAGCAAGCCCAGAGGTGATATTTTGCATACTACTGAATCTTTGTTGTTTATTGATGACACTGTAAACACCATATATTGGACTTGACCATTTCTTTTTCTTTTAAAAATCTTAGGGAATGCTCTGGATACTTTCAAAATAAAGAACCAAGTCTTTTGTTACAGAATATCTTATGGCATACATTGCCATGTCTCAAGGATACTGCTATTAATAATTCCTGATATTTATATGGGATGTAAATGTATATTCAGCTTTCATCATAAGCTGAGCGATTCTGAGATGTAAGGCCCATATAACTCGTATTTTCAAGCTTGCCTGAAATATTAAGCTGTGTACATAAACTCCTTTCAACATCAGGAGAAACTAGATATTTTAAAGATGAACAAAATTAGTTTCTTACGGATTTCCTTTATCATGTAATGCCAGTAGTATTGGTAATAAATACATATAAACCCAGTAAAAGAAAAAAAAAAAAAACAAAAACCAAAACACTACTACCCAAGCAAAAGACTATTCCTGAAGGAAGAAGGTTTGGCCAGATTTTGTGGCAGATGCACCTGTCAAATCAGATAATACTTTTACATTTGTTTTCCCATAAGCAAAAGAACCCAGGGTATGATCACTCTGTGACCATGGACTTCAAAAATAATGGTTGTTATTATTATTAAATGACTAAGAATGGTTGATTAGCTGTTAAATCAGTTTATATTCAATAAAATGAAGTTGGAAGGCCAGATTCGCAACATAAACCCAAGAAGTTAATTGAATCAGGGACAGTAATTGGGCATGTGTTGAAAATTAGTCAGAAAAAGATTTCTGCATAAAGTTAACACTAGAAAAGCGTATTGATTAAAAGTTTTATTTTGTATTTATTTTAAAATGATTAATCCTCCCTTTCAGAATTAAGACATCTGATGAAGAACACTTTTTTTGCTAGTTTTCTTGTGGCTCATGAGATATCTAGTTATGATGAAGTCAATAATAAAAAACCCAAACATGTTCTGTCTTTGTGAGAAGTGAGTTTGTGTGGTTGTGGCAAGCCTCAGACATGATGAACCCTTTCACGATTTAGTAAGACTGACAGCCAACTGTCTCTCATATTATTTTCTAAATAGGGAAAGGTGCTGTATAAAAAAAAGAAAAAAGTAAAAAGATTGTGATTCAAGATAAATTGAAAAATTGCATGGTCTCAGGAATCTAATTTTTTCTAATTCTGCCTCTTCCAGAGCATCTGGAATTGAGGATTTTCTTTTACCTTCCCCACCCTCTGCCTTCCTTCACGCACACCCCCTACCCCCATGCAAATTCGGCAGCTTGACTGCTTGTAGCATCTTGTGGCAGAAGTTGCATCTCATTATGTATCTAAATCATGCAATCTCAACCGTAGTTTAGAGGCAGAAGTTCTGTTATAGTAGTACAGTACAAAATGCTGCCACTGAAAGTATACATTATCCTTAAAGTTTTTTTCCCATCCATGTGTTATCTAAACTTTAACAAAGATTAACAGCAAAAGACAAGTATCTATCAAAATACAGAAAAACACTATGAATTACTAATTAGCAGACAAGGAAAGAATTTAGGAAGAACCTAATAAGAATCCTTTTTCTGGTATTTCAATGTTTCTGTCAAACAGCCCAGCTACTGCAGGAGTGGCAGAAAGATTTCAGTTCAGCCCACAGCCAGGTGGGTTACATCCCATCTTCTGTGGTGGAGGAGATCTCTCCAGGTCTCCCAGGGATGATTGTGCAATGCACTGATTTACCACATTCATGGGGAAATGAGCTACACACTCCAAGTTTGAGTAAGACCAGCCACAGTCACAGCATTCTGTGCTGATTCCCCAGACAGTGCATGCTAAGCATGGTCTGAACACATATCAGACTGAGAACTTCTGGGGTCTTTGCAGAAAGGAATTTTTTCTCAGGTTTTTTAAGTGGATGTAAACATGAAGTAGGCACCATGTTGCCGATTTTGGTCACATGCAGAGATACAGCTCAAAGCATGGGTGTAAATGCACTGGGGCAGTTTTGAGGATCGCATACTTGAATTTACACACGTACAAGGTATTTTGTAGACGTAAGTGCTAATTCACGTTAGTTAAAAATACCTCTGTCTTATTCTTAAATTAAATTATTTTCTTTTAACAAACACTTATGTTCTGGGAAGTTTTCACCTGTGCAGAAGTTAGGACTATTCTCATTTTTACCAGTCCTGAAGATATCTGAGCATTCCGAAGCAATGAAATGTGTGATGATTTGCAGAACATCCTCACGAGTAGGATGGCTGGGCAGCTTTATCCATGAAACCTAGACGGCCTACATAACTGTTGGGGTACCACTAGAAAAAGTCAAAATCAAAGTAGGAATTAGGTCTCTAAACACCTAACGTGTCCCCTGTGGTTCCAGTTACTAGCATAGAAGCCATCTGTAAAAAGCCTAAGAGTAATCACACTGTTTTAAAGATGTATTGTAAAACTACAATTCAGATCTGTGAGACACAAGCCACATATCTTGGATATGTTAACTTGGCTCCTCTCTTCAGTCAGTTATTGCCTTGGCTAAGTAATGGGATGCTGAAGCTTCTTGAGTGTCAGAGATTTCTCAACAGTGATAAATTTATTTTGCTTTTAAAGGGGAGAACAAATCCATCATAAAAAGCTCAGGAGGAATTTTTTTGTCATACTTTTAATACATTTTTCCCAGTCATTTATCAAGCTTTCTGTAATCATGATGGATTTTAATATCTTTTCATTATTCTTCTTCATGCTTTTAGAAACATAAGTTTAATTTGAAAAAAAAAAATTCACATTACCAAAAAAAAACCCCAAACCAAACCAAACCAACAAACAAACAAAAAATCCCAGACAAAAAAAACTTCCGACCCCTGAGATATCACTAAGGTTCTTGTAAATTATTCACTTAATAATGGGATGGACAGGGTGGAATCCAAAACTCAGTCCTGTCCCTACCATCTCCAGTTCATGCACCAGTTTGCTGCTTTTGGGAAACCTTTCCCCCCCTTGCCCTAACATTAGAGTCAGTCAACGGGAAAGGCTCGGCTCAGGGATGCATGTGAGCTTCCGCAATGTTCTCCGTCATCTGCTAGCATCGGGAGATCAGTGTCTTTTACACAAGAAAGGCACCTATAGCTGCTCTCATAAAAAAGAGAACACGGCTCCATCTTTCAAAAGGTGGGGACAGACACGCTCTCTGTCTTCTACACAGGTTCCCAAACAGCACCTTCTCAGGAAGGAAGGAACATAGTTTCTAGGGGCTTCTCAGATTGAGGGGGGTCAAATCCACAGATGCTGCCTTCTAGGAGAGTGCTTGAACCATGGTTCTCCAGACAGCCCTGAGTGAAGGTGCAGTCCCGCCCTCATGCTGAAGCTCAGCTGAAAGTAAGTTCCTTGGGGCCTGCAGAAAGTGGGAGCCTGATTTAGCTGGTTAGCAGTTAAGCTGTTCACTTAGAAGCAGCTATCATTCAACAGTCTTTGCATAAAACAAAAGGTAGAAGAGCAAAATGATGACTGAACTTCACAACTAACACATTTATTAAATCTGGCCCCAAATCCTCACATGATCATTTACCAAACAATGGTTAAAATCTACCTTGCTCTGCAGCAATCTGATGGTAAACCACTGATTACGTCCACTCTATATTAAGTCAATTACTTTTAAAAGGCAGCAGCTCCCTCCCTTTTCTTCTTTATTAACGAGATCCTTGTTACATATACAGCTCATAACAAGATACAAGCTCTCTCTAATGAATACATGCTGAAAACCTCACCTTAATAATATCTTAGTCTCTTTCCTTGCTACTCGCCTCTATTTACATCATGTTGTCCATCTTCACCTCCAACCCTTTCAAATTATCTTTCCATTTTCTCTCCGTGGTACAATCAGCTGGTTCACTGCCTGATAGATACTCATTTGTAGCCATACTGTAATTGCCTGCTTTGTTTCTTGACTGCTGTATATGTCATTTTTCCTATTCAAACCTTGAAACAGCTGCCTGCCTCACTCACTGTGAGTCATCAAAGGAGCAAAAGATAGCTATCTGTATTAAATCCTAATGAGAAGAAAGAAAAAATCCACAGCTACTTACTTACTTCTGCATAATTAGGAGTTCCGGTGAAGCAAATAACTATTTACAGAGAACCAGCGCATACTAATGCGTGAGGTGAAATTTTTTCATCAAGAGAGAAATATAGTAATTACTGTTATTTGAAATAGAAGTTGACAATGTAAACAGCCTAAAAAATACTGAAATTTTTGTGCAGTGGCTAGATTGCTTTATTGCTCTCCTAAATACAGATTTTTACACCATGTGATTGCTTTTGCTATTCTCATAATCCATTTGACTGAAGTAGCTCTCTGCAAGCTACCTTTATTCATTTACAAGTGCTGTAACTACAAGTCGCTTCTGTTCACCTATATGTTTCTGTATCAAGTATAGGGTCTGGTCATTTCATATACTATCATTTCCTCATGTTTCTGTGTGCCCATGAAGTGCACGTCAGTTGCTCTCTGACCGGCTTCCACAGATTAGCCATTAGCTCCTTTGCTATTTGACATAAAAAATAATTCTGGACATGCTCAGAATGCTTTTTGCTCACAGTATATGCGTTAAGGAGCCAAATTCCTCATTATGACTCAGGCTGGAGAGCTGGCTTTACCTTACAATCCTATTTTTCAAAGTTCTCTCCGTTTCCTCTGAAAATTTGCACGCAATACCTTATACTGAGAATTCTCTGTGAAAACCAGAGTTCACAAAAGAAGCTGTATGGTTTCTATGAATAAAGCTTTCTGTTCCCCTCCTACAATTTTCCATTTCTAGCATTCTGCCAGGTACACGCAGTTCATCCTATGTGCAGAAAAGTGCTTCTGAGCATTTTCATGGAACTAGAGGGTGAAGAGTTAATTAAGAAATGGAGTTCTTTAGGTGTGTGCAAAACATCTGTTAAATATAAACTAGCCATATTGAGTATCAAATGACATACCCTCCTGATTCAAAGCTGTTGGCTTGAGCCATAGACAGACAATGAAAGGCAGAAGACAGAGGGAGGAAGAATGGTAAACAAAATGGGAAAGAAAAATAAAGAATAGGAGTTAGGAACAAATGGGGATGTAGTCTGAGGGCACATAGCTCTGACCGGAGCATAGCCTTCTGAGTTCGACATAAGAATTTATGATGACAGGGGTGTCTAATTAAAGTCGTAAGATGGCAAAACATGGCTCTGGGATAAGGTAAATCTAAGCCTTCTCCCCACTTTACTTATTTTTCTTACCACTTGCATAGCTTCATTTGCAACAGCCTTGGCTTCCTTGGCAACTTTCTCAGCTTCATCTGTGTAATCCTTGATGTTAGTATAAGCATTGAAAGCAAGTGTGGCATTGAAAGAGATGTTTTTGGCTTCAGCAAGGATCCTGTTGGGATGGGAAGAGTAAACACACCATTAAACCTGCTATCAGAGCTCAACAGAATATAGTATCCTACTTTTTCAAACCCAACAGCCGGTATTTCTAAGGCATTCCTTTAGAGAGCAATGCTACTCTTGAGATTTCAGTTGTTCTGGAATCATGTGTTAATGGAATTCACACTTTATCTGTGCAGAAAGACTGAGAAAAGAGAGTGTGCTGTTTAACACTATAATCCAGATAACACAGACTCATAATAAGGGATGCCATCCAGAGGGACC